GGCCTTGCGCCATCCATCTTGTTGTCCCTCAGTCTTCCCATCTGCGAAATAGGCTCAGTCCCCTTTGGGAAGGGAAGGAGAGGTGGCTGAATTGACGTGGCGAACGTGGGGCCATTCCTTGTTATAGTCCTCTTGTGGGTGCGGTTGCTGGTTTATTTGCTTAATTTATTTCTTCCCTGCCTTTGCAAACCTAGGCGCCGTGAGAGAGCCGACTACAAAGAGAAAACATTAATGAAATCTTTTTAAAGCCAACTGGGACATTATGAAACAAGAGAAAGCAGCTGCCATTTGAATTCCTTCTGGCGTGACATCCTAAGGACGCATCTACACTGTAGAAATAATGCAGTTTGACACCACTTTAATAGCCATGGCTCCATCCTACAGAATCCCGGGATCTGTAGTTTGGTTTAGGCACCAGCCCTCTTGGGCAGAGAAGGTAAAAAGCCTTGCAAAACTACAAATCCAGGTTTCCATAGGATAGAGCTACAGCTTTGAGGTATCAAAATGCATTATTTCTACAGTGCAGATGCACCCCAGATGGATTTTAAAAGACCAGAAAGTTCCAAGTTTTTCTCTTGTTCTTTCGAATTTTCATTTTTGTTTTCTGGAGATCCATATGATCAGAGACTTTTTGTACCAGTTCCTCAGGATGTTTTATTTTAACTCAATATAAAATTGGAAAGAACAGGAACAAAATCTGGGACTTTTTCCATCAGTCAGGATATGCCCTAAAACCCCCAGAAAGTCCAGATTTTCTTCCTGTTTTTCCCCAGTTTTATTTTGGAGATCCATACACATTTTGTTTATCCCAGAATATTTTCTCTTAGTTCCTGCTATAGTCACCAACTTTTTATACCTGCTCCCCAGGGCTGCAGTTTGCATTGCATTTGTTTGGATCGCAGTGCATTGCATTGCATTGCATTGCAATCAAGTTTGCATTGCAATAATCCAGTGTGCAAAAAGTATAGCTAAGCTTTGGACTGCATAGACCGTGAAAGGTTATGGAAGACTCTTAAAGACATGATGGGAAAGCCAATACATTGGATAGTCCTGAATCTGAACTCAGGACAAGAGGCTACTCTCAGGACAGAGAAACAGAATGGTTCCCAGTTGGCAAAAGAATCAGACAAGGTTGCATCCTTTCACCCGATCTGTTCAACTTGTATGCAGAATATATTATAAGAAAAGCAGGCTTTGACACAGAAGAAGAAGGAGTGAAAATAGGAGGGAGGAATATCAACCATCTAAGATATGCAGATGACACCATAATACTAGCAGAAAACCTCCCAGACCTGGAACAACTACTAAGGAAGATCCAAGAAGAAAGTGTAAATGCTGAACAGAAAGAAAACAAAAATAATGACCACCGAGGACCTTCAGAAGTTCAACCTAGACAATGAAGAAATAGAAAGAGTAAAAGGATTCCCATATCTGGGATCAAACATTGATAGACATGGGGACTGCAGTCAGGAAATCAGGAGAAGGCTAAGAATGGGGAGAGCGAAAGAACTAGAAAAAGATGCTGAAATGCAAAGATATACAAGTCAGAATCACACAAGCCATTGCATTCCCTATTATTCCCATGGATGGATGTGAGAGCTGAAAAGTCAAGAAAGAGGATAGGAAGAAAACCAATGCCTTTGAGATAAATGTGGGGCTGGAGAAG